TGAATTGATTTTTGTGTGTGATATGAAAAAACTGTGTTGGTAATATAAATAATAATATTTTGTATTGAATAGTTGATTTTTTATTAGTAGATAATGTATATTATTATATTAATGTGTGTACATTTGTATTTTTTAGTAATATTTATGAAGAATTATTTCATTGAAAAATGTTGGGTGAACATACTGAATTATTTTGTTAATTAAGAAAAAGTAATATATTAGATATATATATATATATATATATGTGTACTTCTTGTCCCAATTGTCATGTTATTCGATGTAAGGATCATTGTTTTTTAAAAATTTGCATATTTTTATTACAATATATAGTAAAGAAAATAAAATTAAACTCCAAATAATAATTTGGAACTAAATAAACATATTTGCACCACCAAAAATAGTTCATTTACTAAATAATCTAATGAACATAGATTTTGATGACCGATGAAATATTATTTATTAACAATAATTTTCTTAAGAAAATATTTTATTAAATATTTTATTCAAATCTAATATGTGTATTTTCTTTTTTCTTTTTTTTACCCAGATTGTAAATTGTAAATTATTACCCTCAATCCATAAATTTATTGGGTGTATTGGTTTGAACGACTAACAAATTTTTTACATGCTCCTTCCGTTCCAAAACTATAGCCTAGGTTATGTTTGACATGAGATTTAAAAAATATTGATATTATATTGACAGTGGGTAAAAAGTACGAATAAAAGACTTTTTTGATCTTGTAAGTGTATTAGTGTAAAAAGTAGTGACAATTATATAATAATAAAAAATTAAGAATAGTTTTATATAGATATGATTATTAATGGAAATGAGACTATTGTTTTGGGACGGACAAAAATGGTAGGCATGACTATTGTATTGAGACAGATGGAGTATTTATTAATTTTTTTTAAAAGAAATCAAATTAAATATCTAGTTTTTATTATCTATATTATATTGAAAATTAATTTTACATTCAAAATATCACATCACTGTCTATTTATAACACGTAATACCATTATTTCAATTTAAATTTTTTACTATTCAAATAAGTACCCAAAATTCAAACCTCCAAACATACACACGCTTAAATTCTTCTACTATTTTCATTTATCTCACTAAAAGGTATACTCCCTCCGTCCCAAAACTGTAATCTGAGTTATGTTTGACACATGATTTAAGGAATATTGATGTTATCTTGGTAGTGAATAAAAAGTATGGGTAAATTTTTTTTTTTTGCCCTTATGAGTGTATTAGTGTAAAAAGTAGTGACAATTGTGTAATATTAATGAAAAAGTAAAGGTAATTTTATAGTGATATGGTTATTTACGGAAATGAGACTATTGTTTTGGGACGGACAAAAATAGTAAACACGACTATTATATTGAGACGGAGGGAGTATATGTCTTATTATAATAAAAGTAATTCATATACAAAAATACCCTTACATCACTTTTAGCTATCCCAACTAAAATATTACATCCGTCTCATAAGAAAAGTATCATGAACTTTTTGCATATTGATTTTTAAATATTAATTATTATATTAATACGTAGTACAAATAAAAAAAATACAAAAATACCTTTATTAGTCTTTTATAATACAAATACAATAATATTTGTACAGTAAATTATATAAATATAAGAATATTTTTAATATTAAATACAATGACGGAAAAAATAAATAGTACTCTTTATATAAGATGAATATAGTACTATTATTTTTTAAATGTATAAAAACAAAACGAATAGAATATAAAATATAGTTTCTTGATCCACTAACAAAGTATATATATTTTTATTTTTTATTATTCAATTACAAAATAATTATTTTTTTTATTTACTATGAATTTCAATTTTTTTTTATTATATATATTTATTTTTTTATCACATAATTTTTTTTTAAAAGAAATAATAAAAAAATTATATTATATTATTTTTAACTATTTATGATAATAAAATACTATTTAAATTTCGTATAAAAAATAAATAAATATTTTTTAAATAGATAGAAATGTTATAATTAACATTTTAAATTACTATAAATTAATAACACGTGACCTCTTTCTAATAAAAGGTTTCCCACGCGCCTCAAAATCGTTGTTCTGCCACCCACAAGTGCTCACACGTTTTAAGTAATTGCCAGCTGGACATCTATGCATGCGCCACGTCATGCTGCGCTGGGATCCAATTAAATTGATTTTACTCTACTTATTTGAATTAAATTTAATTTTTTATTGTAAACTTTTTTATAAAAACAAATAATATTTTATTTTATAAAACATCAAATATAAATTATTTTTAAATTAAAACATTAAATTAATTCGAAGCAAACACATCGAACTTATTTTTTAAACTGAAATATGTTAAAGTTGTGGATAAATTTATTTATTTGATTGTGATTTTAAATTGATTTGAAATGAGACGTTGATTTGAATTTTTATTTAAATAATATTTTAATTAAATATTATGCGGAATGAATATTATTTATTTTAATTTAAAATTATAAAAATATCTAGACTTGATATGTAGTTTTAATTTATCTAAAATTAAATATTGAACGTGACTATAAAATAATTAATACTTTTATTTTAGAAAAAGTAATTATACATTAATATCAAAAATTTTTTTATTTTTTTTAAATTACAAGCATACCATTACACATACACAATTGATTTGTCATTTCTTTTTTTAAAAAATATAATTATACACTTTAATCACATTTTAAAATTCATAAACTATAGTCTACGCCTCAGCTAACGTGGACAAATTAGATGGGACCGAGGGAATATTATATTCATTCATTGTGTTTTATACTTTTTTTTTTTTTTTTCGTCTCAACTTAAAATAATTCTTTATCTTTTTGTTCGTCTCACCTAAAAATATTTGTTTTCTATTACAATAAAATAATCTCAAAACTCAAATATTACATAAATTACAATTACACTTATACCTATAATTAAATTATATATAAAGTACAATGATAAAAATATCAAACCCAACAAAATTTTATTATTTTTTAATTTATTATAAAATTTCAAATGCTTGTTGAATCGGAACAAAGGAAGTATTTTTTATATATCTTAAATAAAAATATTTATATGTATTTAAAATTATTATTTATTTATTTAAATCTCTTGAAAAATTTCGATATAAATTCACAATCTAAGGTGGCAAAATTACAAATAATTTCAATTTGTTATTTATAATTGGAAACACAAATCAATATTACTTACATGTATAATTTTTAATAAAAATATATTATTCTCTGCCACCGTAAATTTTTTATTTGATTTTTGTATAGAGATTAAAGTAAATTAGTATTTTATAAATATATAATGTAATAAAAAAAATGTAATGTTTATTTTACGATTAACATTAAAGTAAACGTAATGTAAAAAATAAAAAAATAGAGATGTTTTGATATTTAATTTTTTTCTAAAAACAAATAAAATAGAAAGTTTTAACTTGAACTAACTAAAATGGTAAAATGAGAAATTTAGAAATTTACTATTGGACGAAAGAAGTATTCATTTTTTTTATCATAAAATATTACAGTAAAATTCTATTCTAACAAAAATTCAAATAATACATTATTTTAAATAAATTTCAAACAATAATCAAACAAACACTTTGTAGTAATTTTTTTTTTTTAAAATTAAAGTGATTATATCATACTATTTTTGTCGCCATAATTATGTCAGGTTTTTTTAATCGTCCAATAAATTTATATATAATTCATATTTATAGTGAATAACTTCATTCATTCACATTTTTATTTGCATTACTTTAACAAATAATAATCAATTTGTTATTATTTTTTTACTTATTATATTATATTTTTATAATTTTTTAAAATAATTTTTTTATAATTCTCATTTTTTATTTTTTACACACTCACTTTTATATTCAAATATTACTTTTTCCGTCCCGAATCAAAAATATCTTTTGAATTTTGTAGTAAATTAAAAAAAATATTCACTCCGCCTCATTTACGGTGTCTACTTTTCCATTTTCGTATGTCTTACTTATTCTGTCACTTTCTTTCTTTTGCTGAAAAACAAAATTATACACTTTATTCTCATTTAAATTTTTTTTAATGTTAATTAATTATCTTAATTTTAATTTAAAATTATTTTTATTATATAATAATTATTTTTACTAATATATTTTTAAATATTTACTAATTATACCACTCATAAATTCGTGCGTCTAAATATTTTGAAATTTTATTAATATTCATTATGTTAAAATATAATTGATAAATAATTAAAAAGTAAGAGTAATTATTGTATAATAAAAAGTTATTATTAATTTAAGATTTAAAACAACAAAATAATTTAATTAAGAATAAAAAATATTATACTTTATTAAATTTTAAAAGATAATTATATTTTTAAAGAAACAAAGAGCAATTTGTGTGGACGAACAAAAATAAAAAATATAAACAATTTATACTGTACGGAAGGAATAATATATAAAAACAAAACTTAAACCATGAGTGTTGTTATTTAAAATATTTATTTTTATATAAAAATAAAATAAAATCTCCAAAGCGTCTAGAAGGATAGAAAAAAACGAGGGGAAGGTGAAGGTGAAAGTGGCATTTTGAATTATTAAATAGAATTATAATTTAATAAAATAAATATAAATTAAAATTAAAATAATTCAATAATTTAATTAAAGTAAAAAATATAAATTATATATTAAAAAATATGATTAAAAATTAATTATATTTTTAAGAAAAAAATAATAAAGTATGTGAAAAAAAATAGATCAACTAAATGAGACGAAGAGATTATTATTATTGTTACATATATTTTTTTTATATATATTGTCATGCCCACATATTATATATATATATAATGAAATTTTATTTTTTTTATTAATATACAATTTCTATTTTTCGTCAATTTTTAAAATTATTATTATTATTATTATTATTATTATGTCCTAAATTCAGAGGAAGAAGAAATAATAAGAAAGGATACGTTAACTTGTCCGCTACGTCTTTCTATTGCCATTTCCCTGCCTGGCCTGCAACTCTTCCTATAAATCCATGGCGTCCCCCCTCTACTATTCCCTTCTTCCTCCATCTTTCCTCTCCACTCCCTCATATTCAATTCAATTCTCCTTGCCTTTGCTTTGCTTTTCTGCAGGTGCGTTTCACTTTTATTTATTGCCTAACTGTTTTTCCCCAATTGCATTTTCATTCTTCTGATACAATCATCTGAATACCTGATTGAGTGATTGCTGTTTGTTTTCTCTGTGTTGGTTGATGATTCTGATTCTGATGAAGATTTGTATGTATAATTTCCCGCTACTGTTTTCTGCAATGCTATCGGAATTCTTCGCTGATGGAGATTTTGAAGTTTCTGTAAATTAATTTTCTTTGATTTGGTGCACTGATTTCATGCCGGAAATCGTCCCCGTGGCGATTGCTGTTCCTTTTACCTTTTGTTGTATTCGACAAGGAAGAGCTGTGAATTTGCCTACGTGTTCATCTCGATTTGACAGATCAATTGTTTAATCTTTTTTCGATTAATGGCGAGTGCATGGGCTTTGTCGGTTGCTGCTGCTATCAGATGTCGTTATAGTGATTTTTTGTCTTTCTTCTTAGTTTCGCTTCGTCATTTACCATGGGAGATCTCATCTGGATATTATTTTGATTTTTTGAACCAATCTTTCATTGAATTTTCCCTCTTCCAAACCTAATTGAACGATTAATTGAATTGTTGAATTGCATCTCGCTTCAATAAATTAGGGCAGAGGGCTTTTGGATTGAATTCTGTATCATAAGCCAAGAGCATCCGCATTTGGTGTTCTGATTGGGCCTTTGAATTTTCATTTCTTTATCATAATCAATGAGTGAAAAGCTTTCAATGTTCATGTCACATCGAGGCAGGCACTAAAGAACATAAATAAAAAACAAGTAAACTTTTGTTTCATCAATATTTTGTGGACTGCTATTCTAGGAAGCAGTATATCCACCTTAATCCCAGTTGCTTTTAGGGTTACTGCATTAATTTAAGGTTAGATGTCAGGACTATTACCATGAGTAGTCATGGGACTTTAATTACACAAACCAGAAAAAAGACTACTCATGGGAATGAGTATTTAATTATGCCAAGCAATTCTTAAAGAAGATGGGTGAACAGACTTCCCATGTGGTTGTGGAAATATTTGCCAACAAATTTAGGATTGAATCTCTCTCATTGGATGGTGGGGTAGCCATAAATGCATATATGGTTTGGTACTTGTGGTGTGGAATCTTTGCATTTAGAAAATTATGGGAAGACTACTGTAGGGTGGGCCTTTCTTTGTTTATTTAATGTTTTTTTTTCTCAAAGTTGTCTTCCCAACTGTCTTGGTAAAGATTTACTGCTGTTTTTAAAAAGATTCATGTGAATATAGTTTTCAACAGTTGCGTGTCATGGATATCCATAAAGAATGGTCAAAGTAGTTAAAATATTTTCTGGAAGTATGCCTCTGATTGCAGAAGCTTTCAATTCTTTAATTAAAACTTCAGTTAAGAGTCCTTAGGATTGTCTGTTTCTTGTTTATGATTGATTAATCCTAACTGAGGAAAACAAGAGAGGGTTTTAACCAAATGTTAAAAAAAGATTGGTTGCACTGCTCTATGTAGGTATATTTGTGATTTTACATCCTTGTGTGTAGTCAAGTAATGTTACAGATGGCTATTGATTCTTGATTCAGGCTTAAAAATTTGGAATTCTTTCTTTTGAACAAGTGCTGTTTTAGTTAGTTGTTAGTGTATTTTAGGTTTGAAATTTTTTTAAGTAATATTTGATGCGATATTTAGTGAACATAGAGTAAAAATAGTAAACTACCGGTTAAAAGACTCAAAAGATGCGCGATCTTGTTACATATAGAGAACATGATCTAAAACATGTTTTTTTTTTCCCTTGATCTGTATGGATCTGTCAGTACTTGTGGATGTGTTCTGTTGACTGTTGGTAGTAGTGTTTGTATTTTATAATGCTTGCTTCCACCGCTTTATACGTTCTTATTAACAGTTCAGGAGAAGAGACGATTTCGAGGTGTACTTTATTCTCCTGGAACTTTTCCAGTGAGCTTTCGTGCATTTCATCTATTCATGCTTTACGAGATGAGGTATGTTTACACACATTTAAGTATTTTTCATTCAAGTGTTGTATATTTTGTTCGTCAAACTTTTTAAACAGTCGGAAAAGTAACTCCTTCGACAGTTTTTGTGAAGCCTCTGCTTGATGGACTGCTTACAAAGCAGCAGAGATAAGAAAACATTAAAGAGGTGGTTTTTCATCGATAAAAGAGTTGGATAGAAGGATTTTTAGTACCTCATTTGGGAGATAGAAGATACAGTAATTGTGTGTTCTGTTTGTCCGAAAGTCGTCTAATCATTATGGATTTGAATCCGATGGACGGTTCTCCTGTTGTTGCCGACCCTGCGCTAATAAAAACACTTGGGGGTTGTTCTAGTCTTTTGCCTTATCCGCAATCAGGGCAATCGTTCTCAACCAGTGTCTTTGTTGTTCCGAGGAAGAAACCTGGAAAGTTAGAAGATGTTCGCGCCAACAGTTGGCTTGATGCAATGAAATCATCGTCGCCTCCTCGAAAAATAATTCTCAAAGATTTCAGCAGCGCCGACATTTCAGATGAGGCCGACATTTCTCATCAATCGTGGATGGTATGTTTCTTTCTTTTCCATCTTTTACTTTCGTATGGATTTCATTCGTCTAAAGACTTGTCTTCTTTCAGATAAAGTATCCATCAGCTCTCACATCTTTCCACCTAATAATGGACCGCGCAAAAGATAGGAAGTTAGTGATGTTCTTAGATTATGATGGCACACTTTCGCCTATTGTCGACAATCCTGATCGAGCATTTATGACTAATGAAGTAAGAAAAGCTGGATCTTGATCCTTTTTTTTTATTTTTTATTTTTTATATTATAAAGGTTTTTATAGTCATTATTAACATTTATCGGGGCGATTATCCTTCTCAGATGCGTTCTGCAGTTCAGGGAGTGGCAAAACATTTCCCCACCGCCATTATCAGCGGAAGAAGCCGAGATAAGGTCGATTTATTCAAAATATAATTCTCTGAATAATATTCGATCTCTTGCAGCTGCTAAATATCGCATTTTCCAGGTTCATGACTTGGTAGGACTAACCGAGCTTTACTACGCCGGTAGTCATGGCATGGATATCATGTTTCCGGCTGGCGACACGGTATCCAAAGACCATCTAAACTGCGTCAAGTCTACCGATGTTCAGGTATATATATATATATATATGTATTTGTATCGTTGCCAAATTCACATTTGCATTCTCTAATGATGTTCTTGTTGTCTGATTTTGCATCTATAGGGAAATGAGGTAACTTTATTTCAGCCGGCTAGGGAATTCTTACCGATGATTGATGAGGTTTGCGACTTTTAAGTTTAAATTACTAAACAAAAATAATCGCGAATATTCGGTGTTTGCAATTAAACTCTGATTATAAACAGGTCTATAGAACCTTTCTCGACATCACCAAAGATATCGAAGGAACAAAAGTTGAGAATCACAAGTTTTGTGTTTCCTTACATTATCGCAATGTAGATGAAAACGTAAGCAATCTTTCGATCCCCTCAACTTGTAAATCACATTCACTAGTTTTATTTTTTTTCATCTTTGATCATTTTGTGTTTTGAATTCCAGAGTTGGCCCGTCATCGTAGAGCATGTTCACGGCATCTTGAAGAACTATCCTCGACTGCGGCTCACTCACGGACGAAAGGTAAATTAATTTCATCCCAAGCCTCTTCGTAATCCTTCTATATATATAATATAGTTGGTCTGATTCAGACATTAATGTAAAGGTTTTAGAGATTCGACCGGTGATCAATTGGGATAAGGGTAGATCAGTCGAGTTTTTTCTCGAATCATTAGGTATGTTTTTTAGCTTTTCTCACCCTACCCCGACAAAATCAGCTATTTGGAACGAGCCGAGCAATATTAACATGATCTTTCAGGATATACTAATGATAGCGACGTGCTCCCTATTTATATTGGAGACGACAGAACCGATGAAGATGCGTTCAAGGTAAACGACATGAACATTTTGCAACAATCGAATCATTTAACGCACATTCGCCCTGATGCATGACTGCTTATTTTACTCGATCGCCATTTTTAGGTGCTAAGAAAAGCGAATCGAGGCTACGGCATTCTTGTTTCTAGCGTCCCGAAAGAAAGCTATGCTTCTTTGTCTCTAAGGGATACATCTGAGGTGAGAATTAATTCATACAAAATGGCTTTGTCGACTTAGCGTATTATGTATTTTTTGATAGTTGCTGTTACAGTGCTGAATAAATTTATTAAGTTATCGACAAATAGCACGTGAAGTATAACTATACAACACTGTGATATATGTTAATACAATATGGTATATGAACTTATAACATATAACAATAGTTAATACAATATATACTACAATTGAACTTAGTACGTAATGTATGTTCATTAGAGCTGACAATAGGTCGATTTATATCGGGTTTGTGTTAAACAATTTAAACGGATTAAATCACTCAATCCTAATCCGACCAATTTATTACCGTGTCGGGTTCGTATTGACATGTATACATAATTAAATCGAAATCTTTAATTCAAATTCAATTATTGTTTGTCGTGTTGTCATGTTATGTTAGTTTTTGTTGGCTTTAGTGTAATGTATATAATGAATTAGGTTAAATTATTTAAAATTGAATTTAATCTAAAATATGTATTCTAATTATTAAATTGGAATTATTTAAATTGGGTTGTCGTGTCGAATTCGAGTTGAAAGCATCAACTCTAATCCGACCCGTTTATTATTGTATCGGCTTCGTGTCAATATTCGTATATATAATTGCGTTAAAATCTTTAATCAAAATTCAATTATTATGTGCTGTATAGATTGCTATTATATGTCATGTATTTTTAATTTTACTCATGTGTTCTTTCCAGATCAACTATGTAATGTAGTGGGGGAACTATTGTGATGTACTGTCAATTATATTATATATATATGTGTTATATTTATATTATATTATATTACTCCCTTCGTCCTAGAACTATAGTATGAATTGTGTTTGATACGAGATTTAATGAATATTGATATTATATTAATAGTAGTTAAAAAATACGAGTAAAAAACTTTTTTGCCCTTGTGTGTATTAGTGTAAAAAGTAGTGGCAATTGTGTAATAATAATGAAAAAGTAAGGGTAAATTTATAGTGATATGGTTATTTATAAAAATGAGTATTGTTTTGGTACGGAAAAAATGATAAATAAGACTATTGTATTGAGACGGATGGAGTATATTAATATAATATAAATATATATATATATATAATATGTATTGTTAATTTATACCTTATATTCTGTAGGTTTATATTTTATACGATTTATATATATATATATATATATTTCAATAAGCAATAATATTTAGAAGAAATAACATGATGCCAAAATCTACACAGGTTCAACGTTTCCTTGAGTCCATCGTGAGATCAGCACAACAGGGATAAATAGCGGAGGGCAATCTGGTAATTACACTAATTGACCTTTCCATTACTGTTCCTTTAATTTCAGTAATTATTGTCTCTCTTTCGTTTACTTCTTAAAAGTAATTTATTTTTTCTTCAGAGGGCTTTTTTTTTTTTTTTTTTTTGGGTGTGGATGTAATAAATATTGTTTGGGTAGAAGATGTGATCTGTTGTTTCATTTTAATTGTTACCGTTATTACTTTTAATTTGAGTTTGAATATGCATAGTTGAATATTATACTATGATTAAAGTATTATTTATTTTTTTTATTATTTTTGTTGGTCTCATTCAGAAGTATTATTTTTTATTATATAGTATAGTAATATCCAAATATTTTTAATTCTTATATAAATTAAAAATATATTATTACATATATAAAATATAAAGAAAAAAAAAACATTAAAATCTATCTTACATATTTTCATTTAACAATAAAATCATTGATAACATAAAAACCCTTAAGAGATACATTTGTCAGAGACAAAGTGAATACTAAATTGAAAATTAGTTAAGTTTGTTTATTTGATTTTGATTTTAGACTTCTTGTTGAATAGTAATTTGAATACTGCCATCAGTTTTGCTTTTTTTAGTAATAGTATTTTTTATTTTAATAAAGAATATTTTTACTATTTACATAATATAACAAATAATGCTGTTAAAAAATATTTTTTAAATTTTTTATATTGTATTGTTATCTATAAAATACTACTCCCTCGGTCCCAGATACCGACCGCTACACTATAGACACGGTATTTTAGGAGGGGTATAATTAGTAGATAATTAAGAATATATTAATGAAAATAATTATAAATTAAGATTAAGATAACTAATTAGTTTAATTAAAATTAAAAAAAATAAAATTAAAAAATTTAAAATGAGATTAAGGTGTGTAATTATTTTTCAAAAAAGGAAAGTGACAGACAAAAACGGCAACGTGGACATGGTATCTCGAACGGAGGGAGTAATATTTTAGAATTTCCGAGTAAAAGTAAACACTTATCTTCGCATTGGACGGAAAAAATATGTACTATGGGAGAAAAAATTAGTGTATTTTTATAAAAAATTGCACATACTAAAGAAACTGAAATTAAATTCGAAACAAATAGAATCAATTTGTGTAAGTTGCATTGTTCTATAATATACAAACTAATATATTGTGATAGAAATTATTGCGATGTTTTGAACAACTTACAAATAATACAAATTTAAATACAGATAAATACTAAAACTGATATAATAAATCTTAAATGTATTCTTTTCAGAAAAACAAAATTTATAAATATTACAAAAATAATATAATAAACATAAATAAGTAGAAATTTATTACCATAATTGAGAAATTAAATCAAATGGATCAAAATAACAAAAATAGATTAATTGATTATAAAGAAATTATATTTCCTACTCAATGAATTTAGTAACCGGCAAAAATAAATACTTCCCTCCGTTCCGCCACAGATGACTCATTTCTATTTTGGGTAACTTTATCAATTTTAAACATACTTAATAAATATAAATCAATTTAATTAACAATACGACCCACTCAAAACCCATTTATTTCTATTTCTCTCCTCAATTAACATAAATTTTTTTATTTATATTCAAAACTCATCATTTTTTATAAAACTAATTTATGGTAATGATAAATAAATAAATTATATAAAATTTTATTATCTACAAAATATATTCATATTGCATATATTTTTTTGGAGATATAATCTTCAAATTTTTTAAAATACCAATAATATTATTCATATAAAAAATAATAAACTAATATCATAATTTATTTTTAATAACTTACTAATTTACACTACCTAAAATACATGTATCCAGATAGGCTCCGTCCTTAGATTACTAAAAAAGTCAATACATATTTCATTAAGCTTCTATTGACATAAAAAAAACATACCCATCCAAGCTTTACAAGCCAACTTTTAAGAAAAGACAATACTTATTTCACATGACAATAAAACTATATTCACTTACTGATTAATATTTTTATATTTCTCGTATCTCACAATAAAAAAAAATACCTACAACTAATAAACAAAAAAGTACGGTAAAGAATGACAGGTGGTGTAGGGATAAATTCGTGATGGTAAGATCATGGTCTTCCTGTCCTAAAATAATAATAATAATAAAATCACTAATCGCCATAATTTTCACCAGTGAAAACTATATTTTCTATTCTCTTTTTTAGTCTCTTTATCGTGCAATCCTCACAATTTTTTTAAAAAAAAAATATATATTTTTTTTCACAAAATATTATATGAACAGCTATTTAAATACAAAATACATATCAGAAACCAAAAACACTAGAAATGTCCTTCAAAACACATCAAAGATAAAGCCATTGAACACAAATTCCTCACCATGGTTATAGCATCTGAAAAAAGCTCTTCGTTCGTGATTAATCTTGCACGTCAACAACACAAACTCTCGGTAACCTAACGTATCCATGTAAATGCCGGAAGCATTTTTTCCGCTACATATTCACTTTAACAATCTCCTGCCCATTCGACACGCCATAATATATATTCCAACATGAACACTTTACAATTTGAAGCAACTGTAAAAATAAAAAAGGACAAGATGAACTAAAATACCAACAAATAAAGTAGGATCTTAACTTCTTAAAGTTTATACACGAAGGAACATCAAAATATAGCAGAACAATGTAATTCATACTAACCTTTGAACTAACAACGAGATATACATAAGGAAATGCAACCTATCAACGACGTTTAAAAACAACGTTTGGATGTGACTTATATCTAGAATGACTTTATTCAATCCTTCGGTTTCAAAGTCCATATAATTTCCAAAACTCTTCTACACTGAATTATGATAAATTCTTAGATTGGAGCATGTCTAATTAATAGAACACTAAAATATCAGAAAAGTCACGAATATGTGACTGAAAAGAACGAGAGGATTGAAAATCTCATAGAATTGTATTTATCTACAACTAAATTACAAGAAGAAGAAAGAAAACAGAATTGAAAAGAAGAAAGACACTGTATGTTAGTTGCAAATCTAACATGTTGGTACATTGGGCCAAAAATTAAATAAATAGACCCAAAGAATAAGTGTGGCATTACAAAGTTTGGTTTGAAGATTTTTTAACACAAAACTGTTAAATGTTTTTGTGAAGATATTTGCAAGCTTATAGCAGCTTCGAATATGTCTAAGAGAAATGAGTTTTCTGTACATTGTAGTATCCCAAAAATAGTTCCTATTAAAAGCTGAAAGTCGCAAACTAGCATGCAGAGGAGTAGTTGTAGGTTTAGCATCCAACATCTTCATATCTTCGAGGATATCACCTATATATTTGCATCGAGACAAAACAGTTCCATTACAAACTTGCTTAAATTCAATTCCAAGAACGAAGTTTGCACACACCTAGTATGTTATGGTAAAGGCATCATGTAAAATGATTTTCACTTCTTGGATAAGTAAAGGACATGAACCCGTGAGCAATATGTCGTCAACATAAATAGTAAGTACACAAAGTTAGAAACCTTTATGCTTGACATAAGAACTTCTCCCTTAAAGGTCTGATACCCACATTTATAACTTGTTTGAGTCCATAAAGTGACTTCTTCATCTTGCCTATCTGATTGGGGCAATATGATAATCAGGAGAGGCTTAAGATAAAACCTTTTCGTTAAAGGTGTCATGCAAGAAGGCATTGTTGAAATCAATTTTTTGTATGCTCCACCCTTTAATTATTGCAATAGCAAAGACAATTCTTACTGTGACGCTCTTCGTCACAAGCAAAACTTTCTTCAAAGTCCATGCCATAAACTTGAAGGTACCCTCTGGCTACTAGTCTAGCCTTAAATCTATTTATCGGCCTATCCTTGTTTCTTTTGATCTCGTAGATGTATTTACATCCAATGGCTCTAATCCCTCTTGGTAAAAGCGATAACTCCTCTTTCATTGATTCCACCAATTTGGGGTACTTGACACTGTTTCCTCAATTGTCAAAAGTTCATCACTTATATCATTAGGAACATCACAAGATAGAATATAATCATTCATCCAGTAGATTGTTAGAACTTAGAGAGCTCTCTGTGGTCTGACATGTGGTTAGATGAAAGGGGAATTTGTGCAGGAGCTTTCAAAAGAGGATTGTAATTCTTGTATCCATAGCATCAATGTGAATGATTGAATTAGCTGAGGCATGTGGAATTATTAATCCTCTGTGGAGAACATTCACATTTTCATACAAGTGAAGGAAACTCCTCAAATGGTGGCAATGGAAGAATCTATTGGTCATCATGGTTATCTACTTTCTAAACAAGACTCAAATGCTGGTAGTGGAAGAATATATTGGTTGATTTTGTGATGAGTATTAGGCTTGACATATAGCCCAGGAAGCACATGCTCATAGAAGATGATATTACCGGTAATTTGGGTCTTTTTGTCTTTATAATTTAGAACTTTTTTCACACCCATATACTCTCTCTCACACACACACCACTCTACAAGGTTCGAAACCCCAATCTCAAGCATGTAGAGGAGAGTTCAACAACTTGAGCTACACTCCCTCCCAAGGTTGTCATGACTCCCGGCGTTTGTGGATTTTCATACCGCCATGGCAATGTGATGCATGCCATGGCGAGCGCGGTGCACTCTGTATATTATAAATCTTAAAAAAATCTTATATTTTCAATTTTTTTATATTAATTTTCAAAATTTAATGTGCCTTAAATCATAACATGAAATATAATAACATAAAAGATATAATTTCAATCATCAAGACAAAACAAAAATGCTACCTATAGATCTCTAGACCACCAACTTTATATTCTCAAAACTATATAATCAAGTATTTCAAGTCCACCACTACGACTAGGAATATATACATGTTCATCATCTAATTCTTAGTCTATTAATACCGAAATTGAGAATTTTTTGGGACGTCTAGAGTATAATTGTATTGATGAACACAATATGTCACCAATGTTTTCTCTGCTAGAAGTATTGCGGTGTCCAAACTTGGCTGATGCAACCATGGCTTTATCAACATGACTCGATGTAAGATACTCTCCCGAATGAACTAAATCATTGGTGTCAAGAACCTACTAATTATCCCATTCAAATTTATACAACAACAACAAAGGATTAAAACTCTTTTCTCCCTCACACCTCTTTTGGAATCTATTTGTAATTTTCCGATTGTACAAAATGGAAACTAAATTATTCAATTTGTTATGCTCCAATCTTTCTTTTTTTTTTTTTTTTTTTTTTCACATGGATCTAAACAATAATATAGTAGTATGTAACTATGATAATATTAATGTTTAATATATTTACATAAGTACTTATGAGGACTTTTTGTCTTTTGTTGTTAGAAAGCCAACTATTTTCCGAAGCTTTCCCGCATATTATCGTAATCATCGACTTGATCACATTTGCAAATCATTATCCATGATCATTTTTTCAAGAACATCATTAAACATAACTCGTGCCTTACGAGCATATGCATATTATCACTCACATTAAGATCAAAATACTTAGAAGAATTAAGAAACAATGCATCCCCATAGAACTAGACTTCTATTTGATCCTCCTATCGGCTATAGATAATGTATAATATTTTTTAACAAATTTGGTTTTTTTCTTTAAATCTTTTTAATTTTTATTTTATCTTTATTCATCGCTATAACAATCTCCGGCATCGGTGGCTTTTTATCTCCGTCGATAATCTTCAAAACAATTAGAAGTGGATGCAATGATTTTTTACAGTACCGCACGTCAGACAATACCATGTTTACTCTTAACCTCCCGGCATTTCTAAATCCAATTTTGAAGTAGTCCAATCTACGCTAAAAAAATAAGCTTCTCAAAGCATCCTTATGTTTCTATAAGCTCACCAAAATAAAAAATGAAGTAGCAAACCGGGTAGACCCAGACCTCACATGATCTCTTCCATTTGTTTTCTCCTTTAACGCATTAAGAAGCCTCACGTGCTTATAAATATAAATAGTATCTCCTTTTGCAATGTCAATCTTTGCTCGGAAGACAGACAATTTCCCGATATCTTCCAACATATATCAAGGTAATGAGCTGCACAAAGAGTCCAATATAAAGTGGGTATACGTTGCTCCAATAATTTACCCATTGCCTTGAGCTTAGCACCATTGTCGGTTAATACTTAGCCACATATTCTTTGTCAATTTCTTTAATCTTTGTTTGAAGTAAATCCGCCAATAATTATGCAACTTGAGTATTAACTGAAAAAAAAAATGTACTTTCTAGGCTATTGACGAGAAAATTAATCAAATGCCGCCCTTTTTTTATCCATCCACCTGTCAGCCATAAAAGAACAACCGTATTGTTTCCAAGCAAAACATATTTTTTCGCCACCTTCTCTAAAATAGGAACCCGTAATTCATGATAATTTGGTCATTTTACACCAAGTCCTATTTGGCCCGCCGACTCAATCATTATCTCAAAATTTTGCCACATTAAATGATATGTAATTTTCATAAAAAAAAAAAAAAAAAAATCGGCAATGTGTTCATTCCTCATCGTATACATTTCCAACGTTTTTTGAGTGCCACTACTATCTTTGTTGTGTCTTTTCTCTATAACTTCTTCTAGGGTTTTTTTCTAAACATCAAGTCAACTGACTTTATTTCTTTTCCACTTTGTGACGACATTAGTGGAAAAATTAGAACAACTTGCGAACGTTTCTTCTTGCTCAAGGTTCCCGAACTAGGATTTCGGGTGTGTTTGTTTGAAGGATTTGTGAAGATTTCCACTATTCATCCCATTTTTCCCCCAAAAAACATCAAATCAAACACATAATTTTCATTTTTTATACAATACTAAAAATCAATTTTACATTCAAAACATCACATCAACACCTATTTATATCACATTATACAACTATTCAAATTCAAAATTTTTACTATTCAAATCCCAACTCAAAATCCAAACCCCCAAACAAACACACCCTTAGATTCGTGCAATACTTTCACCCTTGTTCCTTGAACATTCATGTCACAACCAATGTCGTCGTCATCTAACTCAACATGACTGGGCTGCTCTCCTACCGACTTTTTCTTTAAGAATTCTCATATCTCATTTCAGATTTTTTCAATAGTTTTCGGACATTTTTTTTCTACATCTTCATAATTTCCTAGCAAGTGTTGTTTCAATCGCTTTATTCCCGATCGTATTTTCTTGTGGTAGAACGAGTATTCTACCAAATTTCTATTTTTCAAATCCAGCAAAAAAAACCATATTTCCTCTGGATAATTTGATTTGGCTTCTCTTTTGAAATCTTTTGATGGGTCCAATATAAATGTTTCACTTCGGCCATAATACATTTCTTATAAATATTTTTATATCAATATGTCAATATAATACATAATAAATTAGAAGGATTTCATAAAATAAAAATATATAAAAAATGTGACAAAATAAAGTAAAGAATATTATAAAGTATAATCCCTCTTATTTATTTTGTATTATTTGCACATATTGATATAAAATATTTATAGGATTTAATGTATTATGGCCGAAAGTGAAGCATCTACATTGGACCATCAAAGGATTCCATAAGAAAAGTCAAATCAAATGATCCGGATTAGAAATATATATATAAATATATTTTTGCTAGATTTGAGAATGCTCGCTCTCAAACAAGTACGATCGAAAATAAAACAACTAAAACAACACTTTCTAGGAAATTATAAAGATGTAGAAAAATGTCTGAAGACTACTGAAGAAATCCGAGATGAGATGCGAGAGTTCTTAAAGAAAAAGTCGGTAGGTTGAGTTAGATGACGACGATGCTGACAACAACATTGGTTGTGATGTGAATGTGCAAAGAACAAAGCAATGAGTATCGCACGAATATGTTTCTTATCCTAGTTCGGAAACCTTGTGTAATGGGAAAACGTTCACAATCTGTTCTAATTTTTCATTAATATCATCACAAAGTGGAAAAGAAAGCAGTAAGTTGCCTTGATGCTTAGAAAAACCCCAGAAGAAGTTATTGAGGAATGACACAACAAAGAGAGTAGTTCAAATAGTAACCGACAATGAAAATAGCATACCATTTAATGACACAATATGTTTTAATAAAAATGACATACCATTTAATGTCGCAAAATCTCAAAATTTTGAGATAATAATTGAGTCGACGGGCCATATGGGACCTGGTTTAAAATGACCAAGTTATCATGAATTACGGGTTTCTCTTTTAGAGAAGACGGTGAAAAACACACAAACACTAAAGAAAAAAATATGTTATTGTTTGGAAGCAATACGGTTGTTCCCTTATTGCTGACGTGTGGACGGACAAAAAAAGGCAACATTAGATCAATTCATTGTCAATAGCCCAGAAGGTATATATATATATGTGTGAGTTGATTGATGCATCAAGTCAAACTTATTTACATCATTGCTGGTGTATTTACTTTAAAAACAAAGATTAAAAAAAATTGACAAAGAATACATAATTCAAATAGTAACCGACAATGGTGCAACTCATTGCCTTGATCTTATGTTGAAAGATATTGGGAAATTACGTCTTCCAGATTAAGATTGACAATGAAAAAAGAGTTACTACCTATATTTATAAGTACGTAAAACTTCTTAATGCGGTGAGGGAGAAAACAGACGACATAGATGTTGTGAAGGTTGTGCATATCTAGTTTGCTACTTCATTTTTTACTTTGCAGAGCTTATACAAGCATAGGTGCTTTGAGAAACTTGTTTTTAAGCGAAGATTGGACTACTTCGAAATTGGTACATACAAATACCGAAAGATTAGTAGCAAATACGGTATTGTCTTTCTCACTTTTGGATTGACGTGAAGTACTCTATATAAAAGCATATCATCCACTTCTAATTGTTTTAAGGATCGTTGACGGGGATGAGAAGACAGGGATGCCAGGGCTTGTTGTAGCGCTGAATGAAGCTAAAATAGAAATTAAAGAAGATTGTGAGAGAAAACCAAATTTGTTTAAAGAAGTTATACATGTTATCAATAGCCGATGAGACAATCAAATAGAAGTCGAGCTGTATGCGGCTACATTGTTTCTTAATCCTTCCAAGTATTTTGATCTGAAGGTGAGTGATAATGCATATGTTCGTAAGGCACGAGCTATGTTTAATGATGTTCTTGGAAAAATAAACATAGATAATAATTTGCGAACAAAGATATGTGATTAAGTCGATGATTACGATAATATGCGGAAAAAACTTTAGAAAACAGTTAGCTATCAAACAACAAATAACAAAAAGTCCTCGTAAGAACTTATATAGATATATTAAACATTAATACTAATATAGTCACATATTAATATATTATTATTTTTTTATTTGTTTTAATAACTTGGGAACCCACAGTCGCTACTCAACGAGTGCACTCTCGGTAACCTCCTGGTCGAACCTAATAGTCTGCAAACTAAACCCGACAAAGCAAGATACATTAGGCGAAGCATGTGAAATAGCCCGAAAACATAACTTTCCAACTCCTATTTTCTATGATTGTATACATGATATTACATCTATGATTGTATACATGATATTACATGCCACCACTACTTTATGCTAAAAAAATTAAATTCAAATTCAAAACAACAAAAAAACATGGAAAACATAAGTATAAACACATTTCTTGCTACAGTTTCGCCTAATATTTTGCAAATGGAGATGTTCCAACTTCCTCCTATAACACATACTCAATTTTTACTCATAAGAATTTAGTTGAAACCAAAAGGATATTATGTCAAGCTATAAAGCGAGCTACAGATGTGCCAAGTGCAGTTTAAGCCAATTTGATATCAGATCTGGATTTGACCTTGCAAGGTTTTAGGGGAAGCACAACGAGCAACAACCAAAGAATATGTTCATTTAGTGTTCTATTCCTACACGATTCCAAAAAAATATAATATATACCCATAACAATAAAAATCAGCAAAAGCATTCAAGACATTGATTCCTATAATATTTTCACGATTCTCATACCTCGCCACAAATACACCTAAAACTATAAAAACTAAACAAACACATTAAAAATCTCGGGACAAAATTTGCAAATTGTTTATCACACTATCCATTCGGCTATCGGTTTATTCATTTTAGTTCTCTATTCTCGTGTTCTGAAATTCCCAAACAGGATCCAAATATGAATCAAATAACATCTGAAATAGACAGAACATTACACTATCCATTTGGTTATCCAGTTTATTCATTTTAATTCTCTATTCTTGTGTTTCAACATTCCAAAAACACAATCCAAATATGAATCAAACAACATCTGAAATAGACAGAACTTTACATTATCCATTCGGTTATCCGGTTTGTTCATTTTAATTCTATATTCTTGAGTTAAAGAACTCCCAAACAAGATCCAAATATGAACCAAATAACATCTGAAATAGATAGGACATTACACTATCCATTCGGCTATCCGGTTTATTCAATTTAATTCTATGTTCTTGTGTTTCAAAATTCCCAAAACACGATCCAAATACGAATCAAATAACATCTGAAATAGACAGAACATTAGACTATCCATTCGGTTAGCCAGTTTATTCATTCTAATTCTATATTCATGTGTTCCAAGATTCCTAAGCACAATCCAAATATGAATCAAATAACATCTCAAATAGACAGAACATTCTACAGTCTACACAAAGAGCTACTGAAATGCCACCAAAAAATTAGGAAATTTTACAGATTACCTAATGGCCTGCAATCCAGGAGTTCAAATTGTCACAATTAAGAACTCGCAGCACTATCACTCCTTCCAGAACACCCAAACAACCTCCTGCAACAACATCAAGCAAAAAATGGCGGCCGAGAAGCACTCTGGAAATCGAGGTGATGGCAGCCCATAGCCCAACGGCAACAACGAAGTATCGCACAATCGCGCTCTCGGAATCAAATTTCAAGTATTTCAATAGCAAAACTTCGATAACCTGATTCGAATACAAAAAACAAAAAGTAGCAATGTAGAAAACCCTAGAGGAGTGGCCGCTGGGGAAAGACCAGTGGTCAACGGAAAACGAGAGGAACATGTGCTTGTTGTAGACCGGGCGAGGGCGCTGGATCAGGTGCTTGATGAGGCCGATTATGAGGAGATCTAACAGGGAACCGATCAGGAGGTTTATCAGGAGAAGAGTGGAAGGAGTTTTGGGACAGGCGGCGAGTGCGGCGAGGGGTGTGGTGGCGAGGAGACCGGAGAGGATGATCGGGAAGAAGAGGCGGCCGTCGCCGGAATATTCGAGAGATTTTAGGACGGGGAATGGGATGATAGGTTGGAAGAGAGTGTAGACTCGGAGAGACACGGCGGTATCGAGGTCGATCAGACGGCGGAGGACGGCGGGCGGAGGGGGAATCGGAGTTACAGGCGGCGGAGGTGAAGGTGGAGAAGTGGACGCCATGGATACGATCCACGGTGGCCCAATCGCGATACTTGTTGCTTGTTTGGGTGTCTAATAAAATTTTCAAATATTTCTATTGTTTATTTAATTTTTTTCTTTCAAAATATATTAAATTAAATATATATATTTTTATTATACTCAAAATTAATGTTACATTTAAAATATTAAATTAGTATTATTTTTTAATTTAATAATTATAATATTTTTTAAATTTTTAAAATATTAAATCAGTATTACTTTTATACTATACTATATTATAATTATTTCTAAATTTTTAAAATTATATTAAAATATATAAGTTTTTTAAAAAGGAAAGAAAAATGATAGAATATGAGCATCCACATCTCTCAGAGAGAAACCACAAGCCAATTTTTTTTTAAAAAAATCAAAAATAAAAAATTTTCATGAGTGAAGCCGCTATTTATGAGGTACTTGTGTAAAATCATGACATTAGTACTATTTTGTCATGCATTCCATTTTAATTGAAATATATAAAAAAAAAAAATATTTATTTTTAATTATTTTTTATACACTTTATTTTTATTATATATATTTATTAATAATTTTTATATTTTTATATTTTATAAAACTTTATTTTTAATAAATGATATCAATATTGATATATTTTTGTTTAATAAAATTTTAATTAAATATAATCAGTTAATTATAATAGCAATTTAATTTTATAATTATCTTATAATTTATTCATTAAATTACACAAATAATTAAAAAATATATAATTACTAAATATGTAATTGAAAATTTAAAAAATAATATAAATTACAACATCAGATGTAAAATATATCGTAGTACTATTAAAATCGACAAATATAACTGCATACATAATGACCTAGAAAATAAAATATTAAAATCAATAAACATAACAACATACATAATAATTTAGAAAATAGGATATTAAAAGCAATGAATATAACAGCATAGATAATTAAACAATTAATTAAACAATTCGTTGAAAAATTTGGTTTTCAATTTTTTCTCGTCCGCATCCAAATTTTCACATCTTGCCAACAATATATTAAATGTTCCAAACTTTTTTGCTTGGATAAAATCAATCTTCTTATTCAATTTTTTCTTCTATCATATATTCTATTGCTTTTGCATTTTGAACTTTTATCTCTTCAAAATCCTAGTAAAAAACATATTTTCAATCTTGCTTTTGTACTCGTTTTTCCTTATTTTTGCAAGCTTTGACACCAGGAGACAAATAAGATGTGATTAATAAAAAATGTCATTTGTGGTGTTGGAGGATTTGAACCTAATGAATATCCATCAGCTTCGTTAATTTTGGTTCTCTTCGAACCACCACTACTATCATGAGACGCTCCACCAACAATATTATTAGCATAATAATTTGTATGTCATTTTGGTTTATAGTTCAACACACGCCACGCATGCTCATATATGAAAGATTTACCACAATCAACACAATATATTTCGTATGTCTTATTTAAGACATCGTTATTAGATTGCACAGTCTGGCTTCTCTGGTCAGTTTGCTCGTAACAACCAACAAATTCTGAAACAACTTTACTAATCTTTTGCCAACATTTTTACACTGATTTGAACTTCTTCGCGTACCTGTATCCAACTTGTTTCCATATAGTATTCATATATCATCTTTCAAAACACAATTTTTTTTATTTTTTATTTTTTTTTTTCAATGTTTGTAATGACATCCTTGCTTATGATAAGCCATGCACGAAGAAAAGTAAATCTTCTCCATACTCCATTTTTTTTTTTTCATCTCTCTAGTTGGATTAATGATTTGCACATCATCAACTTGTGTGCAAAATTCAAAAAGGCCTTCTGGATATGCATTTCGTATTAAACCAGGTTGTGCAGGATATGGTGAAACTCCAAATGCTTGAAATTTTGACGGGTAAAAATTTAGTGAAATGAAAGAGTATGGTAAATTATGGAAATTTGAGAGTGTTTGATAATTGAAAGTGGAATTTTGATTTGACGAATTTTGTGAAGATTCTTAATTTTCAAGCATATTTATAAAACTCGGAAACATAAAAGGATGTTGAGGATTTGAGGAGCTTTGAGAATTTTGATCCATAATTGAAAACAATGTATAAAGAAATAAAAGAGAAAAAATTGATATATTGCCATATGAATAGAAGAACACTCGTATTTATAATATGAATAATTGTACCATCAATTGATTATTTACATTACACAAACTTTTGTCATTGAATTTTCACATCACATTAATTTTATTGTACTAGTTTCTTACACAATTCTTATATTTGTATTAAATCAATAATATTTAATTTTCTTATTTAAAGACACATAAATACAAAAAATTATACCATAAAATTTGAATTTTCACATCACATTAATTTTATTGAATTAATTATTGTACTATTTTTTTTTTTACACAATTCTTATTTTTATCAAATCAATAATATTTAGTTTTTTATTTAAAGACACATAAATACAAAAAATTGTACCATAAAATTGAATTTTTACATCACATTATTTTATTGAATTTATTATTGTACCAGTTTCTTACACCACTCTTATTTTTATCATTGTAATATCAAATCAATAATATTTAGTTTTTTTTTTTATTTAAAGACACATAAATACAAAAAAGTATCATAAAATTGAATTTTCACATCACATAAACTTTATTGAATTGATTATTGTACTAGTTTCTTACATATTTTGGACTTTTTTTATTTGTAACATCAAATCATGTACTACATTGTTAGAAATTGACTATAAATAATCTATCTTCTATTGTTTTTACAACATCCTTCATTCTAAAATTCACTTCTAAAAATCTATATTCCATATCTTTCAAAGGATCATCATTGTTAGAAAAATTTCTAATTCATCTTAATCAAATACTAGTATTGATTCGGATGATGAGTTTGAAGTTATTTCTCGTTGGTGGACAATACACCCAAATATTCAAACAGTTGTGTGGAGATTTTTCAACAATGAGGTGGGAAGTTCTTCTCAATATTAGAATTTACATTAAGATAAATCGTGAAGAAGGTCACAATCGTTTATTTAATAATTACTTTGCCGAAAATTTTGTGTACACAAATGATCAATTTTGTCGTAGATTTCGAATGAGAAAACATGTGTTTATTCGTGTTGGGATATGAAACCTGATTATATCCTAAAATCTAGGGATATGATTTGGATATTATATTTTAGATTTTAGAGATATGATTTGGATATTATTATCATAGGCATTGGCTATAAATATCCATGTATTTTCACTTTGACAGGTGTCTGCGTACTTTATAGTAAAATTTCTGGCTTGGCAACGCCCCCAGACGTAGATCATCGTGATCTGGGTTACCAAATCTTGTGTTCTTTTGTCTTTGTTATTTCATCTTGATTTTCTGGGAATTTCCGTAACAAGTGGTATCAGAGCCTAGTTCGTTGATAGGGTGGATTGAGAGGAATTGATAGGGTGGATTGAGAGGAATCGAACGTTGGATCGTTGTGGGAATCCCTTGTGACCTGCGGAGGTGCCTTGTGTCGAAAGTCTCCTGGCGGTGTTGGGTTGGTCCCGACTGGTAGGTCAGGCAGTGGGTCCCTTTGTGATAGGCGGTGCAAGGTTGGCAGGGAAGGATAAGGGTTTCGGCAAACGCAGCGGAGGAGATATCCGATGTGCTCTCATATCAAGTGAACCTTGGTTTGTTTGTGGGAGTCAAGATGGGTGATCGTCATGTTGTCAAGGTATTCGATGGTATGAACTTCGGTTTCTAAAATATGCATATAGAAGATTACATGAATGGTAAAGATCTAGATGCGGTATTGAAGGAGAAATCCGAAGACATGGATGAAGCCGAATACAAGAAGATCGACAGGAAGACGATGAGTGCGGTTCGACTAACCCTTTAGGAGAATATCTCGACTGAATTTAGATTTGAGGCAAAAGGAAAGGGTGAAGATCAAGTCAAAGTTGAAGCCGAAGAATAAGGACAAAGAAGATGCAAGTCAGGTGGTATGTTGGAACTGCAAGGGGCACTTGAAACGACAGTGCAGGACGCCGGAGAAGGATCAGGGTTCAGCAAACGCAACGGAGGAGATATCCGATGCGCTGATTCTGAGCGTCAGCAGTCCAATGAAGTCATGGATTTTGGTCTCAGGAGCGTCGTTCCACTCATGCAGTGATTCGGGAATCATGGAATCCTTTGCCACAAGTAATTTTCGTGTTGTCTATCTTGTAGATGATGAGACACTGAAAAGGTAAAAGAATGATTCGAGTCAGAACACCGAATGGTGTGGAATGGAGATTGGATGAGGTATGTTGAAGTGGAAGATGAAATCAGTCTTCAAGTGGGAGATTGTTGGGATATGAAGACTGATTATATCCTAAAATTTAGGGATATAATTTGGATATTATTATAATAGACATTGGCTATAAATATCCATGTATTTTCACTTTGACAGGTGCCTGCGTACTTTATAGTAAAATTCTTGGCTTGGCAGCGCCCCAAACGTATATCATCGTGATCGAACTGGGTTACCAAACCCAAATCTTGTGTTCTTTTGTCTTTATTATTTTATCTTGATTTTCTGAAAATTTCCGTAACAATTCGTATTGTCAATTATCTTACAAATGGAGTGCAATATTTTCAACGTCCGAATGCTCGCTTACTAATGTTGGCTTATGGCGTTGCTGTTTACAACGTAGATGACTATGTTCGTATTGGAGAAAGCACTAGAAGAAAGTGTTTGATTAAGTTTGTTGAATGAGTTATTTTATTGTTTAACGAAGAATATTTAAGAAGCCAATATTTGGATTCTGAGTTGAGATTTGAATAGTAAAAATTTTGAATTAAAATAGTAATACGACCTAATATAAATAGGTGTTGAGGCGATATTTTAAATATAAAATTAATTTTTAATATTATATAAAAAAATTATTTGATTTCATGTTTTTTAAGAAAATTTGATTAACAGTAATCTTTAATATAAATTTGTTAGTTTATATAGTTGTTCTGAAACTCCAAAGCAGTTTCGGATATGTCTTTTTCGCAGAAGCAGTGCTCACCAGACTTGACTATGAAAGTCGTCGCCGATCCGCAATCTTCCTTCACCTACCATGGTTACACCTCTGCTGTTCCTCTGCTTTACCGCAGTCGCCGTCGCCAGCAGCAACAATCCAGTGGAGGAATTCGCCGGCGATGTTTCAATCGACTGCGGCTCTGCCGGCAATACGACGGCCGGCAACGGCCGACAATGGCTGGGAGACGTCGAAATTAACTCGCCTTCCCTTCTGCGAATTGAAGGTTCCTCAACTACTTCAACTGCTCTTCGTAAGAATTTGCTGATTTCTGGTGATGATAGTGATAGAGTTCCCTACAGAACTGCGAGGATCTCTCGTTCCCAATTCTCGTACGCATTTGGAACGAATCCAGGTCAGAAAATTCTTCGATTTCATTTTATTCCTGCTCCGTACAAGGATTCTAAAGGATTTGAGGATTTGTTCAGTGTTGAAGTCGGTTATTTCACACTGCTTCGTAATTTCAGCGCTTCATTAACTGCACAAGCCCTTGGTGTGAATTCTATTGTGAAGGAATTCTGTTTATATATCGGAGATAATGAATTTGATATAGTTTTCTCTCCATTGCTAAATTCATATGCCTTCATAAATGGAATTGAGATTATTTCTGTGCCCTCCAGTTTTTCTTATTTTGGTGGTGGAGATAATGGCGTCCAAATAGTTGGTCAGAAGTCTCTGGTGTCTGTTGATTACAGCATTGCTCTAGAATTAATAAATAGACTAAGTGTTAGGCAGATTAGTGATCCATCTATGGATGGTTTTGATCACACATACCCTGTGTGGGTAAATCAGAAGTTCAGCGTGGTTAAAAACAACACCTGGAGAGTGCCGGTGGATGTGGGATTCAGGTACTTTGTCAGGCTTCATTTCTCTGGGATTGGTCTCAAAATCATGGGATATGATGATTTTCTGTTTAAAGTCCTTATTAATGAAAAGATTGTTCATAGTAATGTTGATATTGTGAGTGAAAGGGATGGGAAGAACATTCCAAACTATGTGGACTATCTGGTAGTGATGAGAGGGCATAAAAAGCAGAGTAAATGTGATCTTGTAATTAGTTTGCATCTGTACGATGAATTCGTTGATGGGAATGGACTTGTTGCTGGATTTGAGGTATTTAAGATGAGCAACAATGGTGGCATTCTCGCCAGTCCTAATCCGTTACCGTTGCCTCCAGATCAGGATAAACCACACTTGCTTTATGTTTATTGGTATGTTATTACAAGTCTTGTGGTAATAGTTTGTTCTTTGGTAATTGTAGTCAGTAAACCAAAGAGTGATAAACAACAATTATGTCATCGTTTTTCATTATCTGAGATCCAATCAGCCACTAGAAACTTCAGCAATGAGTTATTGATTGGAAAGGGTGGGTTTGGTCAAGTCTACAAAGGGACGATTGATAATGGGAAAACTACTGTTGCGATAAAGAGGCTGAAACCTGACTCCAGACAAGGTGCACATGAGTTTCACATTGAGATTGAAACCCTTTCTGAGGTTCGACATGATAATCTGGTTTCTCTAGTTGGTTATTGTGAAGAATATAGAGAAATGATTCTTGTTTATGAATTTATGGCCGGTGGAACACTAGCAAACCTCAAATGGAACCGCTCCTCATCTCTCACCTGGAGGGAACGCCTTAATATCTGCATTGGAGCTGCTCGTGGACTGGAATTTATTCATGGCAGCATGGGAATTATACACGGTGATATAAAAACTTCGAACATTTTGCTTGATGATTACTTGGTAGCAAAAATTTCAGATTTTGGCTTGGCCCAACATGAGGACAGTAGCAATCTAGAAACCCATGTGAGCACAAGAGTTAGGGGCACTATGGGGTACTTAGATCCACATTATGTCCACACTCATAGGTTAACAAAGAAAAGTGACATTTATGCCTTTGGGGTGGTGCTGTTGGAAGTATTGTGTGGCAGAACAGCCTTTGATTCAAGGCTTCCAGTAAATGAGCAAAATTTGACTATATGGGCTCGGGAGAACATTAATAGAGGTAATGTTGATCAGATTGTGTCTCCAAGTCTGAGGAATGAAGTCTCAGAAAACAGAGTAAGGGCTTTTGTAGCAGTTGCGGAAAGATGCTTACACACTGAACCAGAGCAACGGCCAACAATGGCTGAAGTTGTGGTGCAACTCATTTCAGTGCTTGAGCTTCAGGATACCCCCAGACCATCATTAGGATTAATTATTCAAGAAGACATTGGTGGACCAATCAGGTTTGATCGAGATACAATTGCAATAGCCACCAATGGATTCTCGATATCAAATCAAATTGGGCAGGGTGGTTTTGGTACAGTTTACAAGGTAACCCTTTCCCTTAAATATACGACAAAGTGGTGGTTTGTTTTCAATCTTTCCTATAAATCATATACGTTGTTTGTATTCTACAGGGAGTCTTGTATACAGGACAGGAGATTGCAGTGAAAAGGCTTTCGGGAGCTTCTAATCAAAGAGACAAGGAGTTTAATAACGAGATTCGTTTGCTTTCCCGTCTCCGACACAAGAACATCATTAAGCTACTAGGCTATTGTGAAGAAGAAAGACTAATTGTATATGAATTCATGGAAAACAGAAGTATGGATCTTTATATAGGTTAGTGTCATTTTTATGTTTTTCCTCCGATCCCCAGGTTCTTATTCATCTCCTAAATTTAGCATGATTTAAACTGAGATGAGCTAGCTTTGACTCATAGGTCGTCCACCAACATTAACTTATCCGCATCTTTTTTGGGCTGTGCGATTCAACATCATAAAGGGGATTGCTCGAGGGCTAGTATACCTTCATCAAGATTGTGGGCTATGTGTCGTTCGCATAGATCTCAAACTTCCAAACATTTTGCTGGATGCTGATCTGAATCCTAAAATTTCTGATATGGCTTTGGCAAAAGTTGTTAATGAATATGAATCTGAGATATCGACTGTAATTGCAGGGACCTTGTAAGTGTTATGAGTTTAATTACCTCAATCATTCAAATCCTTTTTGGTAGCGATAATTCTCATATATATATATATATATATATTTTTATCGGAATAATTCTCATATTTGTGTGTATGTTTAGTGGTTATCTGTGTCCAGGATACTATATGGAAGGGAAAGTTTCCATGAAAACGGATGTGTACAGCTTTGGAATCGTTGTCCTGGAGATTGTGGCCGGCAGGCGAGTCATTACTAGGAATAACAACAGCGATCCTATATCTCTTCTAAATGATGTAAGCGCATGCACACACACATACATATATATATATATATATATATACATACTGATGATGATATAAACTTACATTTTTCAAGCAATTTTCATTTCAAGTTTCACTAGATTACTGTAAATGTATGCATATTTTATTTGCTGTCGTAAAATTTCATTATAAGTTGGGCGAATTTCAGGCTGAGAGGCTGTGGAATGAAAGCAGGGAATTAGAACTGGTGGATGGATCACTTGGGGATGAATTTACAGTGGAGGAAGTCGAAAGATGCATTCAGGTTGCGCTGTTATGCGCACAACCCCGGCCACGCGACCGCCCAACTATGTCTTCTGTGCTCCGAATGTTGGAAGGATACGAAGCAGTGTGGGATCTTCCACAGCCACAGCGATCCTTTTGATGCAGTTTACTAATTATTAATGTGACGACAAACAACACATGACATGGCAAATTAAGGTACTGCTTTTTAACTTTGCAACAGCGTATTTACTTAGTGGATAAATTATATAACACCCCTTGTGTTTTTAGTAAAAATGCACAAAATACCCGTCTTTTATTTATTGCGTGAAACCCCCTTGTGTTAATGTAAAGTTTGCACGAAATAAGATGTTTTGTTCATTTTTACTAAACCATAATGGGTGATATAATTTATCCGCACTTAATTCTTTATACTTATTATTATGCCCATGCTTCTTTGTTCTTCTGCACATAGAACTCACACTCAACTCCATCCATCCTTCTTAATAATAATAATAATAGTTAGAGTATTTAGCGCATAGTAAAAGCATACGAAACACATATTATAATTGTTTGTTTAGTATTTTGATTTATTTATTTATTTTATTTATGTGAGGTATAGGGAATGTATCGGTGATATAAAAAATAATATTTTATATTGAATATTGATTTTTGAGAGAAGATAAAATATATATTGGGAATCGTATCGAAAAAAAAATGGTGGAGGAACAAACCTGCAGCGTTTGCAGTGTTTTGAACATAGTAAAAGCACATGCAACATATGCTATAATTGCTCGCAACACAAGAACACATTATAATATAGGATAAATGCTGATAGCATGCGATAATTGTAGATATCGTACATGTTTGTTTCCAGTGTATATTATATATTACAATACATTGTAATGATACACACAATACTTGCTGTTTTAACTCCAATTACATCATTATTATGTGCTGATTAGGATTAATCGACAAGGTGCTGATATAACACCCTAAATCATTTCTAATAATAATAATAATACAAATTGACGCCTCCATGTCTTATCTGCCATTGTTGTCGGTTCTTACTTCTAATGTCGTTTATTCTTTCATGCAATTTATCTTGGTGCAAAGATTCAATACATTTACATTCCTTTAATTTCAGCATGAATTTTAACTCAATTATAGCACTTTATATTCCTTATATTCCAGCATTAATTTATGGCCTTCCAGATATAGTTTGTTCCATCTAATATTAGTATTTTATTTCCTTTACGCATTGAATCTAAATTCTAATATTTGTGAAGAGTAAAAATTATTTTTGGTCCTATTTAATATCATCACTATCAACTTTAGCCTCATTAAAAAAAATTATTAATTTTGGTCCACACTCAAATGAAAATTATCAATTTTAGTTCCAAAATAGTTGACTGGGATTGAATACGGCCGTGTTGGTTTGAATACGGCCGTGTTGGATCACTCAAAAAGGTGACTGGGCATCCCAGGCAGCCAACACGGCCGTGTTGGTCTCCACACGGCCGTGTTGATTACCCTGCACTTCTGAACACGGTCGTGTTTCTGTCCGTGTTCTGAACACAATCATACTCCTGCCTATGTTATAATCATATCGTAGGTTATATTTATTATTATTTTCACTTTTTGATTAAAATTATTTGATATATATATTTATAATTCAACAAAAATATTTTTTACAATTATTTCATAATATAAAAAATAATCAATTTTTAATATTTTAAAAATATATAAAAATAATAATATATTAATAATTAGTAGATAATTAAGAATATATTATTGAAAATAATTATCATATAATATTGAATAATTATAAATTAATTTATATTTAATAATTATAAATTAAGATGAAGATAACTCATTAGTTTAATTAAAATTTAAAAAAAATTAAATTAAAAATAGTGTGTAATTATTTTCAAAAAGAAAGAAAGTGATATGGGACGTGGGACGGACAGAAACGGCAATGTGGATATGATAAGTGGGACGGAGGGAATATTATTATAAATATATATTAATATATTATTTTTTTAAAATATTAAAAATTGATTATTTTTTATATTATGAAATAATTGTAAAAAATATTTTTGTTGAATTATAAATATATATATCAAATAATTTTAACCAAAAAGTGAAAATAATAATAAATATGATCTAAAATACGATTATATTGAAAATATGGTCGTAAACATGGTCTAGAATATGACTGTGTTGAGAACATGGACAAAAATATAGCCTAGAACATGGCTGTGTTGAAACATGGATAGGAACATGGCTGTGTTCAAAACACGGGTAGGAACACGGCCGTGTTCAGAAGTGCAGGGTAATCAACACGTGTATTAGCTGCCTGGGATGCCCGGTCACCTTCTGAGTCATCCAACACGGCCGTGTTCAGTCCCAGTCAACCATCTTGAAATATTAGTATTGATAAATTTTTATTTGAGTGGAACTAAAATTGATATATTTTTTTAATAAGACCAAAATTGATAATTATAATATTAAATGAGACCAAAAATAATTTTTACTCTATCTGTGAGACTTAGTAGTCCAGAGGTATTTTTGAGTCAGTCAGAAAACTATTTCGATAGCTGTTAGACTAGCCAAATCCACGCAGCTCTGCATCCCAAAAAAGGAATTTTCTGCACCAACTACAACAATTATATATACTCTCTCCGTCCGATTTGATTGAAAGGGTGACTTTTAATTTTTGCAAGTATATTTTCGTATATTAGTATTATATTGGATTATAATAATAAAAAAAAGTACCCATATTAGTACGGTGTAATATAAAGATAATGATATTTGTGTAATATATTGTAAGTTAGAAGAGTAATTATGGTAGACAATACAATTACTAAATAAAATGATAACCTTGTTTTTGAACGGACAAAAATAAAAAATAGAAACTTTTCAATTGGACGGAATGAATATATATATACTCCATTTGTCAGTCAAATTTATGCATTTTTTTTTTTCTTTTAGGTAAAAAAAAATCTACCTTTACATATTTTTCTTAAAAAATCTATATCCAATCAAATTGGCATAAATATATATTGGGATAGGCCGTATCCAATGGCAGTACCAGGATCGAGTTAGAGGGTAGCTATTCTTTTAAATTAAAAAAAATAACACTCCCTCCATTCCGAAATACTCCAAATAAGGACATTTGGGTTTACTCGGGATTTAAAAAACAATAATATTATATTAAAAATGAGTATAAAGTATATAGTGAATGACTAAAATATTATTAATAATGTATTTGTTATAAAAAATAATAATATTTGTTTATAATAATAAAAAATATAAATAATTTTACGATGATATGATTATTTATGAAAATGAAGTTATTATTTTGAAACGGATGGAAAAAAAAAGATTATTGTATTAGGACGGAAAGAACATATTTTATATATCTATTCATTGTCCAAATAATTTTAATTTTCTATTTTTTATATTTAGAAGATATTACAAAATAACAATTACAATAGCATTAATGACTATATATTGTATATATTCAATTTTTTAAATTTTTATAAAATGAAAAATAGTAATATACTTTTCTTAAAAAAATAATCTACACTTAAAATTATTATTATTAGTATTATTATTTATTCCAATAGTTTTTTCTGTGCTATATATATACACATATATTTTAAAAAATATATAAAAACTAAATAAACTAAAGGGGTGGGGTGGAGCAAGGTGCTTATTCCTAACAACTCAAGACTATAAAGAACAAATATATAGCAATGGGAAATACCAAGAAAATATAATATTTTGATTTTATAAAAATTTGAATTGAATTTCTAAATTTTAAAAATATATACCATTAAATAATAATAATAATAATAATAATAATAGAAGATTTAATTAAACTATATTACATATTTATAAAACCGTTCCTTGTAACAGAATCAATAATCTTAATACAAATCTAAGTTTGGATATTATTAAAATTTGTAATGTCATATACAATCCTAATAAAAACATCAAATCCCAAGCATTTAGATATGATTAAAATTTCAAGCCCAAATATACAAGAAGCCCAAAAGTCAGCTATAAATAAAGATCGATGTCTAATTATTTTCTACATGTACCTATTACAACAATGGAATTCGCATGTGAGATTTTTGTACCCACAAAAAACAAGTCCGCCGTGCAGATAGCCGCAGCCGTGGTGGCGGAGCTCGAACGGGCCGCGCCGAAAAACTCCTTACGAGTTCGATCGATAATTTCATTATTAAAAGAATACGGAAACATGGCGTGGGCTTCGATCGAGACTTCCGGGCTCATTATAAAGATGCATATGCAAATCCATACAAGTGCGCGGTTTTACCGAGAGTATTTGGATTTGCAAGAATCCGCATTGGCGAAGATTGTGCACTTTATAAGGGATAGGGAGATGGAATTTTCTGATAATGGGAATTTTTTTTTGCCGGGCCGGGTTGGCGTGACATCTGATGAACCGGAGGCGAATGTTAGTACGATTAAATGGGATTTAGCGGATGCACGGATGGACCTTGACCGTGCTAGAGAAGTACTAAATAAGGTCGAGAGAGATTGGCATTCGGCTCGGAATATTTGGGAGAATGTGCTTCGTTTATGTCCTCCAGAGTATTTGGATTCGATCGAGCTTCCACCGCCTCCGAGCCCGGATAGTTTTTCTTTTGATGATATGTAGGCTTTGTTGATAAGTTATTAATTCCTCTGTACGTTTTGAAAGGGATCATTTGAGATTTTGTAGCAGATTAAAAGATAATAATATTTTATTAATTAGTGGAAGTGTATAAGAGATTTTGACCATTTTGCCCTTTGACTTTTTATATAAAGTTATGTGTAATGATATATTTGTAATTTGACGGCGGCTAAGGTGCTGAATATCTTAAAATTCAACACCGTGTTGACAATACACCGCAACATACAGTGTGCTATCAGACAACACACGGTGTTACTGCCTGTAGCACGCCGTATGCATTTATATAATACAAATACAACACATGAACTAACAACACATGTTATAGTCTTATACAACACAAACAATAATTGATTTCAGCACACCACATATGTCATACAACACACTTTTGATTATGAACTAACAACGCAAATATAACACATAAACTAACAGCACATGCTATATTCTTATACAGTACAAATAATAGTTGATTTCAGCACACCACATACTGTTATACAACACACTTATAATTATAAATCAACAACACGTGTC